CCATTGTCCATGAATTGGACAGGCGATTTTCACATGAAGCGTTGGCCTCGAGTGTGGCGTGTGACGCAGTATTCAGTTGTGAGAAAAACTGCACCAGTCCTCTACTGAGCATGTATGCAAGCCTTAAGATTCACCCTCAGCTTGTGACAGCTGAAATGGATCTTGTGAAATGTGCGATCGCATCGCCGATCACTCTTGAGAAACTTAAAGATGAAGTAGGCTACGGAAGGACAAATATCCTAACTTTTTCAGACTACTGCAGCTTGCACTCATGCTGCCTGTTGGTTTGGCTTAGAGCCCTGCACGGGCGTAAAATTTAGGCCCTAGCCCGGCCCGTGTCCAACAGCTTATCAGAATTACCGGCCCGAGCCCGTCTTTTTTCCCCCTCCTCCCAAAACAGCTTATACTACTGTTTCAGCTATTAAAATGGTTCAGTTTTGTATGTAACAGCAAAGTGATTATATTTCGTGTAGTTTTTGTTTTTTAAAGTAGCGGCCAGCGGCAGACATCAAATCATCAAATCATCACGACTTGCCTAAAATAAAATCTATAGATATAAAACAGTTCAAGTATATAACAATGTTTAAACGTTAAACCTAGATAAATGTGCGCTGTATCCAATAGTTTGTGCGGCGAGTGGAAGCTAAAGCACGCTTTGCAGGACATGGAGGCGCCAGCGCTCATAAAGGTAAGACTCGAGTAATACATCATTCGTACTTTGTGTGCACTCACAATATCAACAAAACGCTGTGCTTTTATAAAATAAAGAAAAAAAAATTTCATCACTAATTGATGGATGTCTAAAATATAAAAGTAAGGAGAAGCCTAAAACAGGTCCGAGGCCCGGCCCACGTCTGAACTATGACTTGAAAATTGGCCCGAAGCCCAGCCCGAGGGGCGTAAAAAAGTCGGGGTCCATCGGGCCCGGGCTGAAATGCAGGGCTCTAGTTCGGCTACATCAGAAATAAGTTTCTCAGTTATGAGGAGAATAAGAAACTGGCTCTGATCTAGCACAGAACGATTTGACTGAAAATGTATCTGAAGAGATGAAAGAAAAATAGTGGTCATCTACGCAATTCTGAAAAATTTACTCTTTGTACAGCAGTAGTTATTGTTTATTCTAAATGTATTTTAACGTAGAATATGTGTTATAAAAATACATGAAATGTAGAACATGTAAAAAAGAAAAGTGCTTGTGGCTCGTCTGCCAGTGGGTGCCCCCCACGCATAAAAGTGAAACTCCGCCTATGATCTACACATATCTTTTAAAACCATAATGCTGGTGACCGTAAATGACGAAAGTTGACGCTAACACAAGGGTGACTAGTTTGTGTGAAAAAGGACAACTGCGTGCACACTGCATTTTGGTTTTGACCTCTTTGATCTTCGTTGCATCTCAACAGGAAGTGGTGGTCACTCTGTACGTGATGCGACAGAAGGTCTCGTAGCAGGCGTTTCAGCCCGTGTGACCTATTTAAATTTATGATTGTGCTGACCTGATTATTTTTGTACACTGTTCTTTATTGTTTAAATATTGAAATCATCAATCTGTTGTGAGTTGTGCTGCTCTGAAGGGAACTTTTAGGCCTGAGCTGTGAGAACTTCTGCACCTTTCTTTCCTGCACACATCACAAAGAGATCATTGAGATCTCAGATAGTTGAGTCAGATCAGAGGCCTCAGTTTGCTTTGGGTTTTTGTAGAAGAGTGAAAAAGATGAGGACGGGGCTTCAGAGAAGAGCTGAAAACCACAGCGATGATTAGACTGTAACATGGTTTATCATTCAGATTGTACAGTTTGCACTGCACTGCATGCTTTAACTACAGATGTGTATGAATTGTGTTTAGTAGGCTTAGCAAATGAAGTCCAATAAATTAAGCAAACGCTTCAAATAATTGTTATTGTGTATGTGCAACTTTTAACCACCTCAATGAATGTATTGTTATTATAAATCTAGGTCAGGGTATTGTACTTGTAATTTGTGTACCAAAGTGTGGTTTGTACCAGTGGAATATGCAACCTGTGCACAACAATAATTTCTAGAGATGGATGCGTGGTGGTGTGTGCATAATGCGGTACCAGTGCATGGTGTAGGTGGATGAGGCGCTTCTGATGGCCTGATCTTAATAATACTGCCTCTTCTCACTTAACAAAAGCTGTAGCAGAGGCAAATACTAAAGTTTAAATAGTGCATAAAGCATATGTTAGTTGCAATACAATCATGTCGATATGTTACAAAAAACAGTTTTTCAGCTGGTTTCTTGCTGGTCCAAGATGTTCTACAACATGGGTGTCCAAACTCGGTCCTGGAGGGCCGGTGTCCTGCAGAGTTTAGCTCCAACTTGCCTCAACACACCTGCCTTCAAGTTTCTAGTATGCCTAGTAAGAGCTTGATTAGCTGGTTCAGGTGTGTTTAATTGGGGTTGGAGCTAAACTCTTCAGGACACCGGCCCTCCAGGAGCGAGTTTGGGCACCCCTGTTCTACAAGCTTGAACCAGCCCCCAACCAATTTTATTCAAAAACACAGTAACAGTTTTCAAGGTCAAAGAGAGTGAACTATATTCTATAAAACAGAACAGAACAAAAAGATAATAATAGGCCAATAATAGTTAATAATATTTATAATTTGAAAACTACACAAATGTTCACATAAATTAAACTGGGATAGTCTTCCTCAAAAACTAGCCTATATAGTTTAACTCGCCAGAATCGCAAAACAGACCGTACAAAACACACAGAAGCCTATAATGTTAGCTACTTCATTCTGTTATAGTCAGGGCGGGACTAAAAACAGTCGACTCAAACGCACTGCATATGAAAACTGTTTTCCTTTTTAATTCGTAGGTTCGTCAAGAAAAATATTTCTTAATCAACGATTTGATTAAATCGTGTAAATCAATCTGTAGACTTTAGTCGTTTGAATGCGTTGGCTCCGCGTCAGATCGGGTTCCTGTCTTTTGTCCATCGGACACTTGACGGTTCTTGTATAACACATCATGTGGAATTCAGTTATCTTTAGGACAAAATGAGGATTACTATTAGTAAAACAACGTTCTTCTGTCTCTTCCTGTTGGCTATGGATGGTAAGTGTTTTACTGTGTCACTTCGTCTTCAGTCTTTAAGGTTTAAAACATAAAGATGAAATGTATTCGCTTATTCTCCTTTAGATAGCCCTGCATCACCTATCTGCTCCTTTGTCATATAATAACACGTTAGAGATTGTGACCAAAACCAAAGGTTAGGATTAAATGTGAGAATTTCTGTGCGTTTAAAAAAATATGGGATGGATTAGGTTTGCCCACCAAACAATCTACGTACGTAACGTAGCCAAGTAGATGAGCTTTTATGGAAGTTGCGCTCAACTGCTGGATCAGCCATTTGGGAATCTTAAGCCATTGGGAAACTATAAGAGCGCAACATTCTTTGTCCTTTCAATGTTGCACACATACGTATCTAAACTTCAACAGGATCACAAAGGGAGCACTAATCGCCACGAGAGAACTTTAAACCGACACAGTTTAACATAACCAATTAACACTAAACATAATTATAACCCAGAATTATAAATAACAATTATTAACATTCCCAATAAGCACCCGCCCTTGCACGCACAGTACGTGATATTCTGCAATATCCAGAGGCTGTTTTTGTTTTGTTTTGTAATTGTTTTGTTGATTTTATTTGCCAATGTATAACCATTCAAAACTCAATAAACTTAAGAATAATTCTTATTTAGAGGTGGACACTAACTACTGTAAGGACTGTAAGAAATTTTTACAGAAAAAGAAAATGAAAGAGTAAAAGCGTGAGTGTTTTATGTTGCATCTTATGTTATTTTGTTCATGTTAAATGTGTGTTTAGTCTTTCATTTCACTTTTTGCTTATGTTAACATTATACAATTTATTTACATACACAGGGAATAGTAAAATATAATTTTGTTCCTGCAATTCTAAAATTACAGTATCACTTTAAATTAGTATTGCTATTACTAGTAAATTCTATTTATACATTTCTTCTTCTTTTTGTAAACCTTCATTACAAGTAACTTTGCAAAACTATTTCATAGGTTCAGTTCCTGTTTCCTATCTGTTGTTCCCAAATTATGTACACCTGTGTCTTAATTTACACTTTGTGTATATAACCATGTGTTTCCTTGTGCTTTGTGGGCCTTTTCACAAGCCATGGTGATAATGTTGTGTAGCTCAATTCTGATTTCCGTGTTTCATCTGCATTTGGATCCTGCTGTCCCTAATGTCTGAGTTTGCCCACATTCCAAAAATATGCTTATTTAATGTACATGTTTTTCAGCTCGTCTGCCTGTTCCTGTCATCACCAGTAACTCTTCAAACTGTTCTTCATCATCATCATCTGAAAGATCATCAGTGTCTAAATGTTCACTGCTGTGTTCAGTGTTGAATGTGAGTGATGTGACTCTCTCCTGGTACAAAGGAAACGGTTTATTGTCCAGCATCAGTGTGTCTGATCTCAGCATCAGTCTCTCTCTACCTCTGGAGGTGGAATATCAGGATAAAAACACCTACAGCTGTGTGCTCAACAATCCCATCAGCAACCAGACCAGACATCTGGACATCAGTCAGCTCTGTCAGACATGTACAGGTAGCGCTCATCAGTGATCTGTCTTTTAATGTAACAATGTAAAGGTATGTCCACATAGGTGTTTTTTTTACTAAGCTAAATAGCTTTTTTTGATACTTTGGTACTTTTACATATAAAACAGTACTTTAGTTCAGACCATTTTTGTTAATTATACCAACAGCTTACAGTAGTGTGGTAGGGTAGTGCAAGATAAAAAATTAAGGCATGACCGCATATTTATATACTGGAAGTCAAAATGAAAATGTATTTAAAGGGTATTCTGTACAATGAATGTAAATTCAATTCCTTTTCTGCCTTCATATCACTGCTGTTCCATAAATAGTATTTCTATTTCTTCTTTAAAGGCACAGGTGAATGATAATTGTTGTTTTTCCTTTCAATTTCAGATTGCAATTCACCATGGCTTGTTGCAGCATTAACATTTGCGGTAGTACTGGCTATGCTAGCAATTGTGATGGGCTGTCTTTACAGGAAATACAGAACATCAAGGCCAAAAGGCAGGTCTTATCTTAAGCTAATGCAACAAGCTTATGTGCATTCATGTTTTTATGATTGCTATTAATGATTTTATTTTTATTTTTTTTAATTCTTGACTTTAGTGAATTATTTTGAACCATCTGCACATGCAGCTGAAACGGTTCAGACAGACGACAGTGAGCTAGCTTATGCCGAAACAACATTTTTACCTAATGTTCAAAACAAGGTATGACTCCCATGGGCATGTTCACTTTTACACCAGATAAAAATGATAATTTGTTTTGCTGTGTTTTAAAAAAAACAACTAAAGTTTTTAAAAGTTTGCGTGTAGCTATGGCAGTATACTTTTACTGGAATAGTTCTGTAACGCATTAGTAGCACATTAATCAGAAGACAATGCTTTTCTTCCTTGTGACTTTGCCAGCTTCTGCTATGAAGAACAGAGGTTTTCAGTAGTGCGATTTTACTCTGGAATGATCAAAGCATATAATTTTTTCAGCTGTACATCTCAACAATAGCATCCAGTAAATACTAGATGCATGTGAACTGTCTTTTCACTTTTAAAATGTGTTTCAAAGTAAGAACTGATTGCTAGACAGAAAATTATAGAAATGCTATAAAAATGAGCCTCCTGGTTTTTGTCTTGAGACCTCTTATTTTCTGTCTGTGTTGTCCTACAGAAGCCTAGGACAGAAGAGACCATATACTCCACCGTCAATGGACACTGATCGAACATGCAGCAGTCTCTCATTTCACCACAATGGCTTTGCACACCTGCATCTGTCAGCATTACAACACTTGATTGAGGAGAGAGAACCCTGATTTGCTCTTGATTTTCTTTGCTTTTAACATAAAAGGAAACGTTTTAAAGAACTTTGGGGTCCAAACAACATTGGGCCACATTCACTCTTACCGTGTAAAAAATATTGTATAAAGACATTTTTCAAAATATCTTCGTCATATCATACAGGCTTGGTATGACATGATGGTGAGTAAATGATGACAATAAGTTGATCGAATTTTGTGGCAGAACCAGCATGTCTAATATATAGGAAATAAAAGACTGAAGAACTAGTTCAACATTGGCCGGGTTTTTTATTTATTTTTTATTTTTTTGCATATCCAAATTCCCCTCTAACAAATCTACATTCTGCATGGAGGTGACACGGCAGAGTTAAAATGACCATTAAAAAAAATGACAAAGAGAGCGATTACTTCATTATTGTACGAAAGTGCAGTATGTGATTAAGATCAGAAACTTCATGAATGTCATGTTTATGTTCTCTCAGCTAGTCTGATACTAAAAAAACTGGCAGTTATTCATGTCCTCAGGGTTCTTATGTAAAGCCACAAGACTCCACCCCAACCCCTGCTATCCTTCCCGTAATTCTTACCTTTCTGCTCTGTATCATAGCACTGCAAGTCATTACATGTCTCATCATACACTGTTGCTTCACACTCACAGGCTTTTTGACCGAGCTCTGTGCTGTCTTGATAAACTTTCTTTTTTTTTCTTTTTGTTTGCCTGTTTTCCCTTTTCATTATTAACAGCTGGTTATTTTCAAGACGAATGAATGTGAATTCCTAAACGGTGGATTGAAATTGACAATGATCCTCAAATTACATTGGTGTTAGGGTTGGGGGAGGGGGGGGGGGTTGTAAATCGCACTAGCAGACGGTTTAAAGGGGCAGGTACAAAACTGAAAACCACTGTATTAGAAATAACTTTTGTACCTGCTATGGGAGCTTGACATATTGCATTTAAGGCTGCAGTCGTGCATACAGCGTGATTGATGATTTAATGAAACAAGAATTTTGGTAGACTACAAAGAAGCACGTTTGCCATATTTTATTTACATTGGGAAGTGCACATGATTTTGATTGAACAATTATGAGTTACTGCAACCTGGTGGCCATAGGACAGAATCGCGTCAGTGAGGTTGTGATGGTGGCTTTTTCTTTTTCCAATCCGTTCTAGACCTGACATAACAAACAAGTAGAGCAACAGCGGCCACGCCCACCACAGCATAAATCAGGGATGGAGTCACACTCACAGAATTGCAATAAAAGCCTGGAGAAAGAAAATAATGGAGGAATCACATGGTTGTTTTTAAAATCTCATTAAATTATGTTTGAATGAAAAAAAATGTATTGTTCCAACTCTGAATTTTCATATTTTGCAGGGACAGTGCCCACTTAAATGAAAGAACAAGCAGCAGTGCCTGAGTGTGTGTGTGTGTGTGTGTGTGTGTGTGTGTGTGTGTGTGTGTTGACCAATAGAGGGCACCAGTTGCTTCATCTTGTTATGATTGGTTGCTCGCACTATTATTTTTGTCAATTGAAAACTCAACCAGGGTGAACCAACAAACGGGTTTTAAACTGCTTTAGAAATTAGCATAAATTACATTATTTTTAAGATCACTGATGAGCGCTACCTGTACATGTCTGACAGAGTTGACTGATGTCCAGATGTCTGGTCTGGTTGCTGATGGGATTGTTAAGCACACAGCTGTAGCTGTTTTTATCCTGATATTCCACCTCCAGAGGTAGAGAGAGACTGATGCTGAGATCAGACACACTGATGCTGGACAATAAACTGTTTCCTTTGTACCAGGAGAGAGTCACATCACTCACATTCA